AATTAAAACTGCTACATAAACAAGCTTCAAACTGATATACTGCTACATCCCCTCCCCTCCTCCAACATGGATACAGTTTGTTATTTCATTTGAACTGGGACAAAATGTACTTAGTTTAAACTTTTAAGTTTATGGTTTGTCCAAACAATCCAACTTCAGATATTTCCACCCACTTACTGCATTACAATGCTCAACTTTTACTAGCTACTAGGATAAACTTTTCAGATATTTATATTGCTTATAAAACAAATATATTTTAAAAGTTTTGTTTACTAAATGAAATCAAGCAAACATGTTACAGGGAACCCAAAACTTAAGCAGGGTGGGGGTTATGTTCCACAGATTGTGCCTAAAGCCAAAACCATGTATAGTCAAAACCCATTGGGTTAAATGGCGGGTGGATGTGCCAATATGATTTTTCCTGGTACCCCACCCTCTTTCTAATCTTGTTACTTTTTTGCCACACACACAAAGCTGCATGCCCACAAGTTAAATGCATATAGGACAATGGAAAAAATCTCATTCAAATTTTCCCAGAAAACCCCCATTAATCATGGGGAAATGGGCTGAAGGCTGGAACCTAAATCCCTATACAGTGACTGCATCTTACGTGATGGATAGGTTCTGGATAGAGCGAACATACACAAAAGTGCATATAGTCAAGAGCCTTGGACTCCTCAGAATCACCACATTCCATCCCAGGTGGGGCCCTGGAAAATCACCTCCCTCTTTTCCTAGCTCTAAATGCTCACTGCAGGGTTGGTTCTGACACCACTTTCCTCACTGCTAGTGGGTCAGCTGGCAGCACAGCCTCTTAACTAGAGAGCAACCACAACAATGCCACCACTTCTCCACTCCGCTCAGTGATGTTCCTTGCAGAAAAATGGCTAGACACTCTTTTAAAAGAGGAACTTGTTTCCTTGGTTCCCTACTTGAGGGGTCATTCCCCCATAAGCCAAGAATATGAAGCTGAATCTGCGTAAGTAAAATGTGTGTAAGATGTAGAGGAATTTCAGTTCTCACCAAGTCTACTATGAAACTTCATTTATAGTAGAAAAATAAACCTGCACAATTAATATCCATTTGAACTTACAACCCATATCCTAAACATAATGCATAAAAGTTGCAGTTATACTGTAATTTACATCCACAGTAAGGTGGTTAGAATTACAGCCAAGAACACCCCAATCTAATCCTGACCTCTTTATACACAGGGGCACAAGCAAAATTTGTAATAATTAAAAGAAATTTTCCATTTTAAGAAGTTGCTTCTATCCAGCCATGCTATCATCCCAATAATCAATCAAGTACTGTAAGTTTTCCCCGCCTTGGGAGCTGACAAAATATTAAACTGCATCTGGAAAATATTTATTATGTGCTGCATTAATTAAAAGATACGCCATTCAACAGTTAGTGGTACAAAACATCTAAGTGTGTTTTTAAATTTAAGTAACCTTTTAGTGCTGTGTAGATAGGCAAGACTTCTGCATAGTACTCAACCTCCTAGAATAGAAGTTAGCCTAACTAGACTGCAATACAACAGTTACCTGGGGATAAATATAATTCAGTCGGACTAAGTTCCAATCAAAAATGCACAAGATGTGACTGTAAATATATTGGCTTGGATACTAAGGTTGCAGTTCTATACTCACTTATCTGGAAGTAAGTGACATTGAACTCAACTTCTGATTAGGCACCACAGAATTTTACCACAATTTGTTTTTTCTGATTTTAATAGGGAATGAAATTTCCACTGATTTCTCCTTCAGTTTGCAGCCCCCTGCATCATTTCCATGTGTCCCCAACATTCAGGAACAGACTTGGGGGGGGGGGTCAGGAAAGCCCCATTCATGGAACTCTATTCCATTTGTTAGAGAAGTTAGGATCTAATCCATTATGGTCCCATCAGAAGTTGCATGGAAAAAAAACAACTCACACACATAACCAGCATCCTCTCCTTCATCCAAGATGCACATCAGCAGGCATGCCATCTGTTCTATATAGCAAATACCACCTATTCCATGTCATGACATCATAAAACATGAGTGAAGGCTGCAGCAAAATTCTGGTTAAAAAAACATGCAGCTTGACCAGCAAGAGGGAAAATTTAAAACAGGTTGCTCATCTAGAAGATATAGAGTTGCTTGCACATTAGCCCATTTCTCTGCAATTACTATCCTTCATTTGCTGCAGAGATCCAGTGATCATTGCCAAACCATATCATTCTGGTGTTTTTCTGACAGGGTTTGGGGATATCCAATCTTTCTGTATGAGTTTTCCTACGTATCCTGGGCCCAGTGCTACAGATCCTCCACTACACAGTTCCTTCCTCCTTAGCTGAACTTTAGGATTAAAAAAATAAAGTACAAGAGCAATAAAGTACAACACTTTCATTATTTTGATACGAGCACAAATATTTGAATAAAAAACAAATGAATGAGCCAACAACAGGCCTGCTCAAGCCGCAAGCAGGAAACAGCTAACTAGATAGCAAACTGAGGAGAAAGGCTAATCAAAAGGCCAGTTCATAATGCCCATGACCAGAATGCAGCCCCTCAAAAATCCCAACTGAAGAGCCAGGATGAGGAGAAGCAAGACTTTTGATGAATGAGACTTACTTATGAATAAATGAGTTAGGATCCTGTCTGTGGGGATGCGTACTGGAGAACTGTGGAAATAATCTTTTTCTATACTCATTGGTGATACCAATCTTCCAAAGCAACTTTGTAGGAAGCAAGTAGTTTTGGATTAAGAAGATTCACAACTATGAATAACTTTACTACTAACAATGATACTGATGCCCTTGACCAATACTGAATTTTCCTTTTTCTTCTAAACTAATTTTAAGATAATTTGCCAGTGTTGTGTATCAGACTTGTGTTTAACCCTTCCAGATGCATATTTTAACATTTTATTTCAGTTTCTCTATAAAACTTAAAGATACATGCAATTTCTAAAATACTAACTACAGCGGCAACCATCGCTTTGAATCAAAATTGGAAAACATTTGAATTCCAAGTAGCCTCCATATAATACTTTATGATCAGCCCTTAGAAAGCATTTAAATATGTAGCCTCCAGCATCAGATTATTAAGCATTTGAATGAATGGCCTAGGGTTTTTTGGTCTCTGTGTTTAACACCAGTTCTTACTTAGAATGTGATAAATATAGCAGCATCCCAGACCCAGTTGATAAGCTTTCATATCAAACTGAATGCAAACCACCAAATACATGATAAACCTTCTGTTTTTCTATCTAAAAGCCTGGGAAAACCATGGTTGTCAAGCATTCAGAAAGTCTCAATGTAAGTTGGTTGGCTGTGTTCAGGTCACACATTACACAGGCTTGCTCTCAAGGCTATTTCATTT